GATTTTCTGTCTTCTTCTAATTATATTATATATATTTTAACAGTATAGTCTGATATATTAATCTTAATAGTGATTTCTTTCTCTAGATTATACTATATAAGTAATAATAATATAATAAATTACTGTTTAATATTTTTAAATATGTACTGCTATGATTCTTCTTACTTATACTTTTTTAACTTTTTTATAAGCTTAAAGAGTAGTATTATATAGATAGCATATTTATTTATAAATCATTAATAATAATTAACTAATTTAATAAACTGTTGTAATTCTCTCAGATTCTTAGATTAAGGCTAGTCTTATATAGCTTATACTTTAACTTACTTAGTATAGACTCTCTTTATAGATATCCAATGTCTCAGAAACTCTGTCTTCTATATATAAAATTCATACTTCTTCAGCTTGTATTATAACTAATATAGATATAGTTTATATAGAATAAGTTTTATATATTTAACATATTCTTTCTCAGTCTTTAAGAAGATTAATATATTATCTAAATAGATAATTATAAATCTGTCAAGATGTTCTTCTAGAATCTTGTTAATATATTATTAAAATAATACTGATATATTGATAAGCTTAAATAATATAATCAAATATTTAAAGTACCTATACTTTATTTTAAACATAATCTTTTATTTCTTATCTTTTATAATATATATATAATAATATATATCCATGATATTAAGTTTAATAAACTATTTTATTCCTTATATCTTATCTTAGATTTCCGAAATTAAAGATAACAGATATTAATCCTTAATTATAATAATATTAAGTAATTAATAATCTATATATAGCTGTAAACTGCTGTCTTTTTTTAGTATAAATAGGACTCCATATTTTGCTAATAATTTCAAAGATCTGATATTATCTTTTATTAGTTAATTATTAATATATTTCTATAATATCTGTAATTCTTTTTTAAATATTAGATAAATCTTTCTATATATTAGTGACTTTTCTTTCTTAATAAGAATAATATGGTCATACTTTCCATGCTAAGATAATTCAGATTGTTTTAATTATTTAAACAAGTCTTTAAATCTTTTATACTGTAATAAGATATATATATTATTTTTAACTACAGCTAGAAGTTTCTATAAATCTTCTAGTCCCTGTTCTAGCATCTTGATCTCTGTATTAGTATTATTAATACTATATTCTTAATACTTATTTATTATTATTAATATCTATCCTGATAATTTTCTAAGTTAATCTTATTATAATAACTTAATTACTGTTATTACTTATATAACTATACTTGAGATGTTATTTTTTTAAGTTATCTTTAATATCTGATATATTAGACTTTTATTATATTCTTAATCTTTTTATAGATTACTTAATCCTTACTTTAGTCTCTTACTAAGTAGCAGGCTATACAGATCTAGACCCTATATCTAGTCTTTATTAGTATTATCTTAGATAATTATAATTCATGAATTAGAGACTTTCAGTCTTTTAATTAATCTGTAGATTATGATTTTTAAGTCATAAAATTCTTAATATAATATTATACTATTTTAATAATGTTATATTAAAGTCTATATATTTATAATGATTCTTTACAGTTATAAATACAGTCTCTAACTTGATTATTAATATAAGAGTTTCCAAATTCTCTCTATTCAGTTCTGTAATCAGTTCAGATTCTGCTTTCTATTATCTAAGTATTTTAAGCTACTGTATAAATCATAGGTTCATAAAGTTCTTGATTATTCTTAAGTCTATCAATACTTAGACTAATTAATCTAATATAATTACTTGGATCTTTAGATATGGCCCTGATTTAATAGTTATTAATTATTATTTTAGCTAGTTAGGTTTTAACTGCCTTGGATATCTTTATGAAAATCTTAAGTCTTTTATCTTTATTATATAATATATTATACACTAATTATTAAAACATACTAGCTAATATATTAATCTGTAATATAAGTATTGTTGATATCTTATATATATATAATTAAAAATAAGATATAGACAGTAGCTTATCTTAATCCTTACTATTTCTGATATCTTAGATCAGTAATTAATAATATATTTTTAATTATAGTATATAGAGTATATGTTCATGTAATATACTAGTTAAAGAAGTTTATTATATTTTTAATAATCTTTATTTTCTTTAAAATATATGTACAGATATGGTTTATTATATCAAGGTTCTGTTCTAGCTACTTGTATCTTCTAGCTAATCTTTAATAACTAATAATAATAGTCTGTATTATCTTATCCACATATTAAGTAAACTTTCAGGTAATAAGAACATCTTTATAAATATTATCTCTAAATCTTGTTTTATAATTCTCAATATCTTAAGTTCTAATATAGGCAGTACTGTATAATCTTCTTAAGTTCTAGATAAAATCATGCTGGATTCTTTAAGAATTTCTTTAAAATATGGTTTAACTAATAAGTAATATTATCTTTATCATTCTTCTAATTTTTTTTATTCTTATCTTGCTATATTAGACGGGATTTACTAATTTTTGATAAAGGTTTTTCTGGGATATTAAGTATCTTGCTAAGTCTTTTTTTATTAGATTTAAGAATTTTAAACTGAGTATTATACTCTTTATCTAAAGAGTTAAATTTATTCCAAACTATACTGGGATAATCGTTTCTTGGAACTGGCTTACTATTATTATTAACTTTTATAGGCTAATCTAATAGTACAGATAGTTAGTAATCTTCTTATTAACTTAATAGTACTATTAGCTCATCCGTAGTGGCCTGTTATCTTAACTAATTATAATATATTCTGTTTTTTAATAGTTATCTATACTGAATAGTATATAACTTCTTATTATCTAGTATCCGCATTACAGATTCTATCCAAACTTCATGCTAAATAACAGTAATATTATAGACTTCTCTATCTTAATCTTTATATATAACTACTAACTGTTTCTAAGGCTGTTGCTGTTTCTGACTACAGTTCTTTAACTAGTGACCTACTTTGCCGTAGCTAAAGTATAAGCAGTCCTTTTTACACTGTTTTAGTTTCTTCTTAAATATTCTGTTCTGTTAAGTCTGATACTGTGCTATATTCAGCTCTATTAGTTTTAATCTATAAAAATCTTTATATTCTAAACTTCTAGATTATATCAATCTTCTGTTGTTAGCTCAGTAATCTGATTAATTATTTTATTAGAGTGTAGACCTGCTGGTCTATTAATCTTTCTTTTATTTTATATTATATTTATATAATTTATTATTAATCTTGACTGCTGCTTTAATCATCTGTGGCAATATATTTAATTATTCTTACTAAATAAGTTTTTCTTAAATCTCTATCTTGAGTCTTTCTTTAAATTATATGATGTAGGTATTATTATCCCAGTCTAGATAATTAATAATTTATAAAAATTTAAAAGTATATTTAAATACTGATTTAATCTATCTAAGTTATTATAATTCTTACTTAATATTATATGCTGCATTAATATCTCTAAATATCTATTTAAAACACTGCTTAAATCTAGTATAGCTAGTGAAGATTTGTTTTATATTATTATCCTGATTATTTACTAACTTTTCTTAATACTTGTAAATATATAGTTTAAACTAATTAAATACTGTTTTAGTTAGATAAATAGACGCGAAAAGAATCTTATTAACCTTGTTTCTAAGCTTTTCTCTATTCATGTTAAGATATAAGTCCAACTGGGTTAAGAAAGCCCTGAGCTTCGCTTGATTACTGTTAAATAATTCTGATGATTAGATCTTAATAGATTTAACTACTAAGCAATCTTCAAGTAACTAGTTTTATTGTTTTAAGGCGGTGATGCTTTCTTATAACTGACTAACCATATTTATTAATTCTTATATTATTAAGCCCTGCTGCTGTAGGGCGCGCGATAAGTTCAAAGTAGTCAATATAATGAATAATTATTATTAGATAATACTCGTACTGACTAGTGCTCAATATATCAAACCCTAGGATTGCTTCTTCCTGTTTCTGTTAGCTTAGCTTTGCCGGTATACGTATCTTCAAACTGAATCGAGGTAGGATTAGATTGATAACTATTTAAAGATAACTGGTCCTAAACTAGAGAAGAGAAGTAAGGCCAGATAGTACCGCGCAGTTGTCTGTAAGTAAGTGTGGATAAGTATTATTATTAAGCTTCTAAACATGTGATTACTTAAAGATGATTATATTGAGTATAAAAAATAGAACTAGCTAAATATATGAAAGAATGTCCTTATATCCTATTCTTTGTATATCATATTATATATCATTCAGGATAGATTGAGGATCAATCTAATCACAGTCCTGGATCCTGATATACCTTATATATACCTTCAATGGTAGATCTGATAATAAATGATTATATAACACAATGCCGCTCCGGACGTTACTCAGACCGGGATTCTACTCGATAAGAGTTGCTGGTTGTCCGAGACCTGCCTTGTAGTCGCTTTCTGCCCAACGAGTCCGCTCCGCTAGTAACCTGGCTAGCAGGGGTCTGTAACAAATCTAATAATATTTAGATAGAATATATATTATAGAAGATATAGATTTGAACTCCACTCTTTCCTACAAAAGATGTAGATTAACTCAAATAAAATAAAATTAATTTTCATGCCGAGATTTTACTAACAGAATAATTCTTCAGTAAAGTTTAGTATGAATCATGAATTAATTTAATTTTTAATATTTAATAGTATTCTATCTACTATTTTTTAGGTGAAATGAATTAGATTTTGCTACATTTTATCGGGTACCAACTACCAAAAGCGAGTAGGGAGGAATACCGGGAGTAGGGAAAGGAAAATTGGTGGAGAGTACTAACTACTTACTTATTTAACGTAAAAGTGGGCTATCGCGAATGACTCAGCTCGACGTGCCTACCACGGTGGGGTAAAGAACAATCTTCCCAGGTATAATTGCACCCTTTTTTTCCTTTGCGAAGTGCCTATATACACTATTTCAGGGATTGATTACAAAAATTCTCGGCTAAAAGCTACCGGGGAGCCTTTACAGTATGCCTACAGTCCATCTGCTAGATTACGTCGCCGGAAATGTCCGCTCTCTGGTCAATGCGATCAACAAAGTCGGCTTTGAGGTCGAATGGGTCAAATGTCCAGGTGACCTAGCGAATGCAGAGGTCAGTCAATCTGCTATTCCCAAACTCTCAAACTTAAGCTAATGATGTGGCAGAGGCTTATTTTACCAGGGGTCGGCCATTTCGGCCATTGCCTATCTCAGCTATCAGAGGGAGGCTACCTAGAACCGATCAGGCGGCACATAGCTTCGGGGAAACCCTTTATGGGAATTTGTGTTGGCTTACAAGCACTTTTTGAGGGGTCTGAGGAAGACTCGGGTGTCCAAGGCCTGGGATTAATACCAGTGCGGATGCAGAAGTTCAGTACCGAGTCAAAGAGCGTACCCCACATAGGCTGGAACTCTGCCATAAACACCAAAATCGGGTCTTCGCGGGATCAAAGCTTCTATGGATTGAATCCAAACAGCAAGTACTACTATGTTCACTCTTACGCAGCTCGCTACACCCCGGGGCTTCTTGAAGGGAATGGCTGGTCAGTTGCCACAGCTACTTATGGTGAGGAAGAATTCATTGGTGCTATCGCACAAGAAAATATTTTCGCCACGCAATTTCACCCGGAGAAAAGTGGTCAGGCTGGGTTACGGACTATCAGTGCTTTCCTGAATGGTCATCGTTTTCAGACAATCACCGCCCAGGCTTCGCCCTCCTTGGAAAAGAATAATGGGCTGACACGTAGAATCATCGCCTGTCTCGATGTGCGCACTAATGATTCTGGAGACCTTGTCGTTACGAAGGGTGATCAGTATGATGTTCGCGAGAAGGACGGTGTCGACACCGGAGGTCAGGTCAGGAATCTGGGAAAGCCGGTTGACATGGCGAAGAAATATTACGAACAAGGGGCTGATGAGGTCACGTTTCTGAATATCACATCCTTCAGGAATTGCCCTGTTGCAGACGCACCGATGCTGGAAATCCTCAGGAGGACTTCAGAAACTGTTTTCGTGCCATTGACCATCGGAGGCGGCATCAAGGACACCATCGATACAGACGGGACTCAAATATCGGCTCTTGATGTGGCAACAATGTATTTCAAGTCCGGTGCTGATAAGGTCAGCATTGGCTCGGATGCAGTTATTGCAGCGGAGGAGTTTTATGAAGCGGGGGGGAAGCTGACTGGTAGAACGGCTATAGAGTCGATATCAAAGGCATATGGTAACCAGGCTGTGGTCGTGAGCGTGGATCCGAAGCGTGTATATGTGACCAGGCCAGAGGATACGCAGCACCATACAATCAGGACAAAGTATCCAAATGCGGCCGGCCAGACCTTTTGTTGGTATCAGTGCACCATCAAAGGCGGACGAGAGTCTCGGGATCTTGATGTCCGACAGCTAGCGAAGGCCGTCGAAGCGATGGGTGCCGGTGAACTCCTACTAAACTGTATCGACAAGGATGGAAGCAACAGCGGGTTTGACCTCGAACTGATCAGTGATGTGAAAGCCGCTATCAACATACCAGTCATTGCCTCAAGCGGAGCCGGCAACCCGGGGCATTTTGCAGAAGTTTTCGAAAATACCACAACAGATGCAGCTTTAGGTGCTGGCATGGTAAGTACACATATTCTAGAAATTATTTTGAGATCGCTAATGTCTTACTCGGCTTCTTAGTTTCACCGAGGTGAATATACCGTCAGCGATGTGAAGAATCACCTTAGTGATAGCGGGCTCCTTGTCCGCAAATTCGAAGAGGACAATTAGCACCATGCCTGTGACGAGTGACTCAACATATATAAACATAGATGGTCAGAACGGAAGCCTATTTGCTGGTGTACTGGCTTCCATCTTCGGTGAATTCTGCAGGCATGTTCTTATCCTTTTAGATCTCATCTGAGAAGTATATAATGATACTAACAAACCCAGTAGCTGCGATTGCACACGGATGGGATATAAAAGCTGACTTTTGCACGGAGTAATGAGCTTCATCTTTGTGCCGTTAGCTGATCATCAGTAAATATCTGCACGTCCTCGTAATTGCATCTATGTTTCCGGTTAAACTATAGGGAGGCGCTACATCCATATCGGCCAGGCTACAGCCACACCTTCTATCTACTCAACCTGTATAATTAGGCTATTTTATCAAGCATATTTCAGAAATTGTTTAAGCTGCATCACGTGAGCGTATACTGGGCCTTGTTCATCATTTTAAGCTATACAGGGCTTCACGCAGGCCTACACACAGGGTTTTAAGACATTCATCTTTAAAGGCCTTAGGCATACATAAATAAGCTGCCTCAGGTATAAGGATTCAAGTGATGAGCTATAAAAAGTAGGTCTTGCCTAACATGGTAAGCGGTAGGTAGAAAGTGCCTCCCAAACTATATTGTGGCGTGTACTTTGTAACCACACGCCTTGAATAAGAATGTATAGCCATTGCAGCATTTCATGATATGTAACGAGGGCATACAGTGAGTGGTTGAAGAATAATGTATTATTGGCGCCGAAAAAGCAAGGTCTCTCCTTCATGACTCTGCTTCCACTCACCAGGAGCATATTAGTATTCTTTGGATACTTCAGAGCGTCGCAACCACCAGTTGCGCTTAATAGCCCATGATTCCACGGCTACCCTACTAGTAACCCAGGCATACCTGGGGTACCTGGTAGGTACCAATTACAAGCGGATACAGACATATACCTTTGGCTTGAACGACAGAGTTCGAGGAGGGTAATCTGATGGTACCACGTATGGAGTAATGGATGACTATTTCTATATAATATTTATATTAGGATTATTATATATGAAGACGCATAAAACCAAAGACTCGAGATTTCCTAAATGATGTAGGTATCGTTGAAAATGTATTAGGAGCAATTTATGGTTTTTATTATTATCGATATGATTAAAAATGATAATATCCAGGAGCCTAACTATTATAGGATTATTTCCATATACTACCACTGTTATATGTGTATTGATATCCCTGAGGTGCGAAATGCTGATTAGCGAAACAGCCACAGCTACATGTCTCATTTCACAATGTATTTAGGCAGTATACTTATTGGTTTCTTTTATATTTAGAGGCACCTCTGTGGTAGTATCTATTTCAAATAGTAGATGTCATACTTGTTAATGTACAATGTGTGCTGTGAGTGCTAAGCCCCACGTCCAATTTGGAGTTTTAGAGCTATCTGTAGTACATATATCATGAGAATCTGAGCTCGGGAACAAGATATGGTATCATGGTGCCTGTGCCCATGTCCATGCCTGTGCCCATGTCCGTCCATGCCTGTGCCCGTGTTTGGGCTCGGGCTCGGGCTCGGGCCTAGTACTGCCTTGCTAGTTTACTCTGTACCTTGTGACTACTTACTACCCATTTGCCCCACCTCAGATAACAGTTCACCAGAACCCCTTAATGTTACGATTTCCTTCATCCCTGCTGCGCCCCGATACACAGATAATTCATTGAAAGTAAATAAATCACACTAATGCTGTTTTCTGGTCACTTACTGAACTCCACCACACTCATTAAGTTCAGTGTGGAACATGGTCCTGCTTAAATAAACTACATCGAGGAACGGAATCGATTATATCTTACTCCGACCCGCTAGAAGATGAGCTCAACCATGCGGTATACCCCCTTCGCCTCTGACATAGAATTTCCATTCTATACGGCCCTAGCATCACTCAAGATCAACCATGACAAGCTTGATGATGCCGCCCGCAAAGTGCTGGGTTTCTATGAGGTCCGAACTACAGATCCTCCTAATGCTTCATGCCGAATGCAAATACATGGAAGCGCCCTAACTAACGATGAGTGAGTACTGGTATATTGTTTAGGTGCCGTTTTGAAAGGATTATTTGTTAACAAGTTTTCCATTGACCAGAACACCGGCTGGATTATATCGAGCCGAAGGGATGATCAAGAATGTCAATACATTTGAAGAGTACACAAATATCGACAAAGCACATATTCTTCAGCGGTCTGCAAAGATGGTTAGGCCTAATTTTGTATTTTTGTTGTAATACTACTGACATGTGAGAATATAGATATGGGATGCTATAAGTGACGGCACGATCTACTCAACCCCCTCGTTACTCGCCTCCTTCATCATCTTGTCGTATGCAGACCTCAAAAAGTACAAGTTCCACTATTGGTTTGCATTTCCCGCACTGCATTCAAATCCTTCCTGGACATTTTCAAAGGACACTGAGCGAGATGACACGTCCGGTCTGTCTAGAAAAGCAACGGCATCTGATATTCCTCTATCAGATGCTGAAATTGCGCGTCTTGTAGAGACGGTCAAGACATGGACTCATGGCGTTGAAGACCGCCAGCGAGGGTTCTTCTTGGCTAGAAGGGTCCATGACATCAAGGATGGAGCAGGATCCGAAAACAGATCAGGGATTACCGACCAAATCACAGAATCATCAAATCCTGATGGCCCGCGTTGGCGAATTGCTACCCTCTCAGCATACGAAAATGGATTTTTCAACGAGGCAAGTTTTGAAGACTGCTATGTCAGCTTTGCAGATCCTTCAAACTATGATGATGCACCCGGATGGATGCTCAGGAATCTCCTGGTGCTTGTAAAAAGACGATGGGGACTCAATAAAGTTCAGGTACTGAGATACCGCGACACACAGCCGCAGCCCAGTCGCAGTAATTATAAAAGCACGGTGCTGATACTGGGATCGGATACACCGAGTGATGGAAATTCGCAAATTCCGAGCAAAGACATGCCAAAAGTGACCGGGTGGGAACGTAATCCAGCTGGTAAATTGACGAGTCGATTGGTCAATCTCACAGAGTACCTAGATCCCAAGAGGTAGGGACACTGTATCATGAAGATTCCCGGTATCAAACACTAATGCAGCTTTCCAGGCTGGCTGACCAGTCGGTTGATCTCAACCTCAAACTCATGAAATGGCGGATTAGTCCTAATCTGAATCTCGAAAGAATTAAGCACACCAAATGCCTCCTATTGGGAGCGGGGACCCTCGGAAGCTATGTTGCAAGAAACCTGATGGTACGGAAACCCCAGTATATCTGTACAAGGATGAATATTCCTTAACCACTGTAGGGCTGGGGAGTATCCCAAATCACTTTTGTGGATAATGGGTCTGTGTCGTTTTCCAACCCTGTGAGGCAACCACTCTACAACTTCGCCGATTGTCTAGATGGCGGGGTCAAAAAGGCTCTTCGTGCTTCTCAGGCTTTGTTGGAAATTTATCCTGGAGTAGACTCTACAGGTCATGTTTTGTCTGTGCCCATGCTTGGTCACCCGGTCATCGATGTTGACAAAGCACGAGCGGAATTCGAGGTACTACAGACACTTATAAACGAACATGACGTCATATTTCTTTTAATGGACACGCGAGAAGCACGCTGGTTGCCGACAGTCATGGGGAAGGCAGCTGGCAAACTTGTCATGAATGCGGCACTCGGATTCGACTCATATGTGGTTATGCGTCATGGCATCAAGACAGATGAGGACCCATCAGCAGAACTCGGCTGCTATTTTTGCAACGACGTCGTTGCGCCGATGAATGTAAGTAGGGCATATCGGATCTACCAATCGCTTTACTGAGATTCTAGAAGTCTGTCAAGGACCAAACACTTGATCAACAGTGTACCGTCACTCGACCTGGTGTAGCCGCCATAGCCTCGGCTTTACTAGTAGAGTTGCTTGTTTCCCTTCTTCAACATCCTCTAGGCACTGCCGCACCGGCCCCGTCTTCACGTAGTGATGACCGAGGAGACCATCCTCTGGGACTTGTGCCACATCAAATCAGAGGATTTCTTGCAACGTTTGAGAATGTCCCCGTCGTAGGCAGAAGCTACAAGTATTGTAGCGCCTGTTCAGACAATATCATTCTTACTTACAAAGAACATGGTTGGGGGTTCGTTCTAAGGGCTTTAAATGAGCCTGGATACGTTGAAGAACTGAGCGGTCTCAAGGAGGTTCGTTTGTCTCGTTTGCCCTTTCCCCTTTCCCCTAGTCTCTTGATATACGAACTTCCGCGTCCATCCCATCTCTCCGATTTCCTCTGCTTTAGCCTAGTAATCTGACCAGTTTCCAGGTGCAAGCAGTAGCAGAGGCATCGCTTGCGGACGTCGAATGGGATGAGGACAGCGATTCAGGAGAGGAGATAGAATCAAGCTCGGTCTGATGTTAAGAAAGACGGTTGACGCTACAGATTTTGGCAATTGTTGTGCCCGAAGGTCAACGATCCCACCATTCTAAGACTCTCAGTAGTCAGGAATTTGGTTTTCCATTCTGCTACCTCCGATTAAGGCCAATGAAAAAGGATTCTTTGGACTCCTGCACGGTTGGTCAGCATTGCAGAGGCCTGCTTTGAGCCGTTCAGAGATTGGTGAGGTAGTTATAGTCATACACATACATTTCGCGAAGATTCTGGTTTAAGCCTATAGACCCTCTGGAATAGCTCCCTGAGCTGTTTCTCCAGGGCCTTATCTTCGGCTCCTTGATAAAACTTGCAGACGAAATGGCCCCCAACCCGGAGGACTTCTTGGCTAAAATGCAAAGCTGCATGGCAGAGGTCCTGATCTCGTTAACCTGGTGTGAACCCCTGAACTACCCGGTGAGCTTGGCGACCTACCATACTACCTGCATGGTCTTTGAAGCCGATGCCACTTGTATTCATCATCCTGTTGTAGGGATCACTTAGACTTCTCTTCCCAAACCCAGTTGTTTGAAACCAGGGAGCAGACATATCGCTTAGAACAACATCTACCGTCATTGAGTGCTTGTGATCCCGTGGATTGGAATCTGCTTGCTTATCAAAGCTTGCGTTTACAGCCGATCCGAGTTCCTGCGCATAGCAATCGGCGTTGGAAATTGGACCTGGAGAGCGTGGCCTGCCTCTATTGGTATCGCGCACAAATTCTCGGACATATGCCTGGACATGTGGGTCAAGAAAGTTGCCCTGAATCGTTGATACACCTTTGGGAGGCTGGGCTGGGATAATGTCGACACCAAGGACCCGACCATGGGGTTGCGTTCGAGCTACTGCTACCTGGCGCAAAGTCAGCCAAGGTATGATAGGCCCTCAGCCTTGCCCCGACGCACCTGAGACCAGGAGCCAGGAGCATAACCCTATATTGAATGAATTACACTGTTAATCAAGACGGCCGTATTGAGTCTTCTAATCTGCGGCTATCATACTAGGTCAACAACGGTTTGTCCGCTCTCAAAGATGTGATGTTTCTCATCTATCTATTCGAAAAGATTCATCAGGATGTATATAAATGCAGGGTGAATCGTGTTCGATACTTGAAGGAGCTTGAAAGCTGCGCGGCTCTTTAAGCCCTGCACGGCTGCTTCCCTTGTGAAACGATCGTTTAGCTGACGAGCCTGCCATCGTTTTGAGGACGAGTGTCGTTTGAGAATGTAAGAGCCAAGCACGCCACTCTGAGTTGTAGGGAAAGGTTTCATAAACACAAAAAGTGGCATTGTGCAATGTTAACAAATCTCAAGAGGAAGAAGAAAATTATTGAGGCGAATTACGGAGAGTGCTGCCGCCATCTGAACATCTAAACAGGCAAGCCAATACCTTCTGTGGATCACTGGATACAACCACGGGTACCAAGGGAATCTAGATCACTAGTTTGGAGAACTACGATTTCTTTTTGTCACACCTGAATTCATAACTGCTTCCATGATGTTACTCTGGATATGGATGCAGTGGTACTTGTACGTACCTAGACGTAGGTATTATCTTTAGGAAGCCATTATAGTCACTCCCTGTCATCCTAGAGTCATCTCTCTACCTGTTTAAATAGGCTAAGCTTAATTACCTGACTTACTTTACTGAAAGAGAAATCAAAACAATACCTGTTTTTATTTTTCATTATATTTTTAAACGATTCAGACCTCTGCATTACTGTGGGATTCTTGAATATCTAAATAATCTAATTTTAATATTATCTAACCCTCCTGCTTGGCTTGAATCTTGATTTAAGATATATAAACTGAATTCTGCCTTCTAAAAAGTAAAACTGTTTAAAGGATAAGATTTCTTTTATTTAACTTAGACAGCAGATAAATGATAATGAAAATGATATCCCGGTCATATCTTATTATTTATTTTAAGACTTCATAGCTTCTGCTAGAACTGATTCTTGATATTTTTAAACCTTACTTTATCCTGTACAGTAGCTACTAGCTAGTTTCTGGATATAAAGAAGTTGTTACGGACCCCTGCTAGCTGAACGAACTAGTAAGGCGGACTCGTTAGGCAGAAGGCTACGTCCGGAAGGCAAGGACTCTTATCAAGTAGAATCCCGATCTGAGTAACCTATGAATAAGGACGGTTACACAGCACGTGACCACAACGGACATGTTACCAACACATTATAACATGGCAGCGCTATAACAGGACATGGCAGTGCTATGACAGGACATGACAGCGCTATGACAGGACATAGCAGCGCTATGATATAATATATCAGTAACATGATATATTATGGCGATGCCATGATAAAGGATAGGATATAAAGACACTTTTTCATGTATTTAGTTAGTTCTGTTCTTCATGCTCAATTCTAATTATCTTTAAGTAACCTATGTTTTAATAGAGCTTAGTGATAATACTTGTCTGCACTTACTTACGGATAGCTGCACGGCACTATCTGGCCTTACTTCTCTTCTTCTGTTTAGACCAAGTCATCTTTAGATAGTTAATAACCTGACTATCTTTGATTCAGTTCACAAGGTACGTATTGGAACGGGAGCTAAGCTAACAGGAACAGGGAGAAGTGATCCTAGGATTTGATACATTGAGTACCAGTTAGTATGAGTGTTATCTAGTGATAACTAGTCATTATATTAACTATATTGAACACATCGCGTGCGCCTCAGCAGCAGGGCTTAACAACCAAGAAACTGATGGACATGGTTGGTCAGCTATAAGAAAGCATCATGGTCTTAGAACAAAAGAACCAGTTACTCGAAGATTGCTTATTAATTAAATCTATTAAGGTCCGACTATCCGAGCCATTCGACGGTAAATGAGCAAAGCTCAGAGCTTTCTTGACCCAGTTAGACTTATATCTCAACATGAATAAGGAAAAGCTTAAGAATAAGAAGGACAAGATCTTTTTCATATCTACTTACCTTACCAAAGCAGTATTTAATTGATTTAAATTATATATCCGCGAGCGATAAGAGAAGTTGATAAATAATCAGAATAATAATATAAAATGATTTTTTGTTAGTTATGCCAGATTTAAACAGTGTCTTAAACAGATATTTAGAGATATTAATATAGTATAAAACACTGAATAAAAGTTATAGTAATTTAAGTAAACAGAATCAATATTTACATATATTTTAGAGTTTCAGCAAGTCATCAGTTACCTGGACTGGGATAATAATACTTATATCTTATGATTTAAAGAAAAACTTAAGATGGAGATCTAAGAAAAAATCATTTAGTAAGAATAACTAAATATCTTGATTAAGATGATTGAAGTAGTTGTAAAGATTGATAATAAGTTATATAACTTTAATATAAAATAATAAAAGGATCGGTGGACCAGCAGGTCTATATCTTAATATAGTAATCAGCCAGATTACCGAGTTAATAACAGAAGGTCGGCACAACCTAGAAGCTTGGAATATGAAGATCCCTATAGGCCGAAACCCATGGAGCTGGATGCAGCACAGCATCAGACTCAAGAGACTTGAGTGTCTAAGAAGGAACTTGAACGGTATAAACAAGACTGCTTATACTTTAACTGCAGTAAAGCAGATCACTAGTTAAAGAACTGCAGTCAGAAACAGTAATAGCCTCAGAAGCAATTAAGGGCTATGAACCAAGATCAAGACAGAGGAGTCTATGATATTATCACTATTCAGCACGAAGTTTAAACAGAATCTGTAATACAGATATTAGATAATAAGAAGCTATATATCATTCAGTATGGTTGGCTGTTAGAGGACAGAATGTACTGTGATTAGTTAAGATAACAGACCACCCCGGATGAGTCAACAGTACTATCTAGTTAATAAGAGGATTAATGATTATCTGTATCATTAGTTTGGACTATAAAAGTTAACAATAATAATTATAAGCCAGTTTTGAGAAACGACTATCCCAATATAATTTAAAATAAGGACGAACTATTGGATAAAGAGTATAGTATATTACTTAAAGGCCTTAAACCCAGTAAGAAGAGACTTAGCAAGATACCTAATATTCCTAAAAAATCTTTATCAGAAATTAGTAAACTCTGTTCATTACAGCAAGACAAGGACAAGAAGAACCAGAAAAACAATCAAGAAAATATTACTTACTAGTTAAACCGTATCTTGAAAAAGATCTTGGAGAATCCAGCACGATTCTGTTTAAAACTCAAGATGATTATGCAGCATTGCCTATATTAGGATTTAAAATATTAAAAATCATAAAATAAGACTTAAAAGCAATATCTACAGAGATATTCTTATTATCTAGAAATTTATTTAATATGTGGACAGGATAATACAGACTATTATTACCAGTTATTAGAGATTAGTCAGAAGATAAACATTGCTGAAACAGAGTCTTGATATAACAAACCATGTTTATACATTTATTTTAAAGAAAGTAGAGATTATTAAAAACATGATAAACTTCTTTGGCTTATATGCTACACGAACACATGCTTAATATATCATGATTAAAAGTACATTATTAACTACTAATCTAGAATACTAGAAATAGTTAGGACTAAGGCAAGCCACTGTCCATACAATACCTTTAAATACATGTGTAAAGAGTATTAGAAATATCCTTATTATAGATTAATATATTAGCTAGTATATTTTAATAATCAGTATATAATATATTACATAGTAAAGATAAAAGGCTTAAGATTTCCAAGAAGATATCTACAGTAGTTAGAACCTAACTAGCTAGAATAGCAGTTAGCAGTTATAGAATCAGGACTATATCTAAAGATTTAAGTAGTTGTATTAAATCAACTAGCCCAAGTACTGGTAGATTCTGGAGCAACCAGGAACTTCATGCACCCAGGATTTATATAACAGCTTAAAATACTTAAATAATAAAAAGCAGAATCTGAACCAATTGCAGGACTGAATAAAGAGAATTTAAAAACTCTTGTATTAATAGTTGAGTCAGAAACCATATTTATAATTATAAAAGATTATTATAAGTATATAAACTTCAACGTGATACTTTTAAAATAATATAATATTATATTAAGGATTTCATGACTCAGGAATCATAATCTGTAGATTAATTAAAAGACTGAGAGTCTCTAATTCATGAATTATGATTGCCCAAGACAATACCAGCAAGAACCAGGTATAAGATCTAGATCTATATAATCTACTACTCAGTATAGAGCTGAAATAAGGATTAAGTAATCTAGTAAGGGGAGGTTGAGATCGCCACAAAAGCCTAACACACCAGATATCAAAAATAACTTAGAGGAAAATAACATCTTAAGTATAATTACACAAGTAATAACAACAATCAAGCCATTATAAAAAAATTAGTTTATAGAATTATCAGGATAGGTACTAATAATAACAGAAAAGTACTGTAAGTATAGTATTAATAGCTCCAATATAGAGATTGAGATGATTATCCAGAGACTAGAAGACTTATAGAAACTTCTAACTACAGTCAAGAGTAACACGCAGATCCCACCACAGTATAAGAGATTTAAGAACTTGTTCAAGCAGCCAGAATAACCTGAATTATCTCAGCACGGAAAGTATGATTATATTATTCTTATAAAGAAAGAAAAGTTACCAGTATGCAGAAAAATTTATCTGATATTTAAAAAAAAATCGCAGGTATTATAAGAATATATTAATAATTAACTAGTTAAAAATAATATTAAGCCTTTAAAGTCATTAGCAGGACATAGAGTCCTATTTATACTAAAAAAGAACAGTAGTTTATAATTATATATGGATTATTAGCCACTGAATATTATCATGATCAAGGATCAGTATCTATTATCTTTAATTTCAGAAATCCAAGACAAGATATAAGGAATAAAGTAGTTTACTAAACTCAATATTATAAATATATATTATCATATACGCATCACGGAAGATAAAAAATAGAAAACTATATTTAAAATAAAGTATAAATATTTTAAATACTTGATTATACTATTTAGACTTATTAACGCACCAGCGTTATTTCAGTAATATATTAATAAAGTTCTTGGAAAACATCTTGACAAGTTTATAATTACTTATCTAGATAATATATTAATCTTTTTAAAGACTGAGAAAGAATATATAAAATACATGAGACTAGTTTTATATAAACTACGCCTATATTAATTATAATATAAGCTGAAGAAGTATAAATTCTATATATAGAAAATAGAGTTTCTAGAATACTGGATATCTACAGAAAGAATCTATACTAAGCGAGCTAAAGTGCAAGCCATACAGGATTAGTCTTAATCTAAGAATCTGAAAGAACTACAGCAGTTTATCAGATTAGTTAATTATTATTAATAATTTATAGATAGATATATTATCTACATGATGCTACTCTTCAAGCTTATAAAGAAATTAAAGAAGTATCAGTAGAAAGAACCACAGCAGAGCATGTTTGAAGATATCAAGTAGTGACTTATTATATTACCAGTACTTGTACAGTATAATCTAGAGAAAGAAATAATCATTGAAACCAATATATCAGATTATGCTGTTGGTATGTGTATAACACAATCTGAAGAAGACAGAAAATCAAGATTAATTATATTTTACTCAAGAAAGTTAGTTTAAGTAGAACTTAACTACAATATTCATGACAAGGAATTGTTAGCTATAATAGTAATATTCAAGCAGTGGAGGGTCTATCTTAAAGAAGTAAAGCACACTGTCATTATAAAGATAGATCATAAGAACTTGACTTATTTTATAACAACCAAAGAGTTGACCAGAAGGCAGGTATAATAGGCTGAAATTCTGTTATAATATAACTTCAGAATTATATACTACAAGAGAGTAGAGAATAGACATACAGATACACTAAGCCACAGGCCAGACTATGAATTAAATAGAAAGGCTATTAAACCAGCCATCTTAAAGCGAAATATGGATGGATTAATAAACTATAACAAGACTAACTTAGCAACAATGTTGAAAATAGGCAGTAACTTAACTAAGCAATTAGTTAAAAGCACAAAAAATGATAAAATATTTTAAGAAATGAGTAAGGACTCACTAGACAAGATTATTATTAATAAAGATAAACTAATATATTTTCATGAATTAATCTTTGTACCAACCATAATAAGAATAAAGATTATGGCTAGATATCATGATAGACTGTTCAAGGATTACTTAAGAATAAAAAAAATAATTAAACTAATCACAAGGAATTACTACATTCCGAACCTTAGATAGAAAATACATGATTATATTAGATAATATAAGACTTATATTAAGAATAAGTTTGTAAGATACTAATCCTATAGATAAATATAAGTACAGGAGGCGTTACAACAGCTATAAAAATAGATAATAATTAATTTATTAATCTATTATCAGAATCAGAAGGATTTAATACTATCATAGTCATCACTGATCGCTTTATTAAATACATTTATCTTGTATTAAGTAAGATAATAATAATAGTAATATAGATAGCAGAACTATTTCTAGAAAATATTATAATATATTATAAAATACTGAAATATATTATATTAGATTAAGATAAATTATTTATCTTGAAGTTCTGAAGATTATTTACAGATCTTATAAAAATAGAAGAATAAATAATAATAACTTATTACCTGCAGACAAATGGGTAAATAAAAAGGATTAATCAGATAATTAAGCAATATTTAAGATATTATATAAATTACTAGTAAGATAATTAGATAAACTTATTACTAATAATACAGTTCTTATATAACAATACCAGTTATTTAATCATTAGAGTCTCACTGTTCTATACTAATTATAGATATTATCCAAGGTTTCTAGAAATACTATTAGGGAGGCAGCAAGTTACTAATATAATTAAAAATATTATCATATTCATGGGAAACATATATTTACAATTATCCTAAGATATTGAGTTTATAAACTTATATAGTAAGATATACTACAATTATAAATACAGAAAGAAACCTGATCTTAAAAAAGAAGAAAAGGTGTTCTTACTCCGCAGAAACATTAAGATAAAATAATCAAGTCAGAAACTTAACCATCACAAGCTAGGATTATTTATTATTAAAGATAAGAAGAGACCGGTCAACTATAAGTTAAGATTACTAAAATCAATAAACAGAATTCATCCAGTATTTTATATCTTATTATTAGAACCTGTACTAAAGAACGCTAGAATCACAGAAAATATGGAGATTAATAACAATACAGAGAAAGAATTTAAAGTTAAAAAGATCCTAGACTATGAGAAGATTAATGGCAGATCACAGTATTTAGTAAAATAGGTAGAATATAATATCTCAAAAAATATATAGAAACTTATTAAGAATTTGACAGGCTGTTACCAGCTTGTAAAACAGTACTACCAGCAGATAGGTTGAAACTCGTCCAGAAAGAAGGAGAGCCAACAAGTTAAGATAAACTAAGATCAAGCTCAGATATGGCAGCTAGTTTAACATCTCCCGCGATGGTACTAGCCTCAGCCTTGAATATTACAGTTTATTGATCACACAGCCTTATTTACGCCTTATATTCTTTTTATTCTTATTTCTTAAGCTCTTCTAGCTTCCTGATTTTCTTTATGTCACGGGCTATGAAATTACTAGCTTATTTTTATAATAATTATTTTTGTTTCTGCAATTAAAGAAGTTTTGTCAGGATAACTTCTTTTTTCTCTTTAATAAAGTTTTGAGCCTTAATTAAATACTTTCACTCAGCATCAGAGAAGGAAGGATCAGGTATTTTATAACAAACACTGTTTGTTTTAATATACTTGCTACAGCGGTCAGAATTTTCAGACTTAATATAAACCTTGTAAAGATAAATACAGCGCTCGCAAGGGAAAACCATAAGGAAATCTTCATTCTTAATCCGCTGATAAAGGCTCTTCTTATAAACAGAAGAACTAGATGATATGGTTAATAATCCAAATAAAAGTTTTGGGAAATGATACCAGACACTTATCTCAGGAGGGAGGCACTGTAAATTTATATTCCTTGGGAATAAGAAACCTTGAAGAAGGGGGAGTGGTATTACGGACCCCTGCTAGCTGAATAAACTAGTAAGGCAGACTCGTTAGGCAGAAGGCTACGTCCGGAAGGCAAGGACTCTTATCAAGTAGAATCCTAATCTGAGTAACCTATAAACAAGGATGGTTACACAGCACGTGACCATAACGGACATGTCACTGACATGCTATAACATGGCAGCGCTATGACAGGACATAGCAGTGCTACGACAGGACATAACAGTACTACAACAGGACATGGCAGCGCTATAATATAATATATCAGCGACATAATATATCATGGTGACACCATGATAAAGAATAGAATATAAGGACACTCTTTTATGTACTTAGTTAGTTCTGTTCTTCGTGCTCAATTCTAATTATCTTTAAGTAACCTATGTTTTAGTAGAGCTTAGCGATAACACTTGTCCGCACTTACTTACGGATAGCTGCGCGGCACTATCTGGCCTTACTTCTCTTCTTCTGTTCAGACCAAGTCACCTTTAGATAGTCAACAACCTGACTACCTTTGATTCAGTTCACAAGGTACGTATTGGAACGGGAGCTAAGCTAACAGGAACAGGGAGAAGCGATCCTAGGGTTTGACAGAAGTGAACTAATAATTATATTATAGGATAGCTATCACTAGCAGTAGAAGATATGAAGAGATAAAAAAGATTCTATTTTATAAATTCTATAATATTCTATTTTCTTTGCAGTAAAATAAGTCAGGTGATTAAGCTTAGTCTTCTTAAGCGGGTGGGGGGGGGGGTGACTCTAAGGTAAGTTGGTACCAGGGGGTGACTATAATGGCTTCCTATTTTTACATAGTGCTCCGTACTCTGTGTCACATGGGTAAATACTTACTACTTACTAGTATGTATCTAGAAGCAGTACGGAGTAGGTACCGGTACCCGCAAAGCGACCCGCCCCAGAGTTGTGGACACCTATCACCCTAGGCAATTCGGATAGTAGGTACAGCGTACTCCGCTACCTGCCAACGCGTACCTACCTATATCGTGTGTACATGGCCGATTTCATTGCGGATTGCTGATCCGCCGTCTTTCTACCATTCGAATCGACTCCTCCATTGTCATGCCAAAATGAAGCTTTTCAATCTTGTCGTGTCCCTTCTTTGTATATTCCCCAACGCCTTCTGCATCGCCACGGACTCAAACAAGTTTGAAAGATACCGTTCAATCTCTCGCTCCGCCCCAATCGAGCTTACTGATTCGTCATATGAGGATATAACATCCAAGCCTCGCGATTATCACGTCGCAATTCTCCTGACAGCTGCAGATTCTCGCTATGGTTGTACCCTTTGCCGCGAGTTCCAGCCAGAATGGGAGCTCATAGCGCGAAGCTGGAACAAAGGTTCTAAGCCTGATGATGGGCTTCAGATTCTCTTCGCTACCCTAGATTTTAGTGACGGAAAAGGCACTTTCCAAAAGGTATTTAGAACATATGTTTTATAGGCAGTTCATAAGCTAACACGGTCGGTCTGTTCAAGCTGATGCTTCAAACTGCACCCGTCCTCCTTGTGTTTCCTCCTACTGTCGGTCCCTTCGCTAAGGTTGACGACACACCTCTACGATTTGACTTCAGCGGGTAAGTAGTAGAGGAATCCTATGTCAATGCTATCATCCTAATATCAGACTGCAGCCCAATCTCCGCCGATCAATTGTACACGTGGATCAATCGTCACCTTCCAGAGGGGCCGAAGCCGCCTCTGGTTCGTCCGATCAACTATATGCGACTTGTCTCGGCTGTAACAATATTGATGGGTGTTATAACCCTTTTCACTGTCCTGTCCCCTTATTTTCTGCCCATTATGCGCAACCGGAACTTGTGGGCTGCTTTCAGTCTGATTGCCATCCTTTTGTTCACAAGTGGCCACATGTTTAACCACATCCGCAAAGTCCCATATGTTGCAGGGGATGGTAGAGGGGGCATTAGCTACTTCGCAGGGGGTTTCTCCAACCAGTTCGGCATGGAAACACAAATCGTTGCTGCCATATGTAGGTTGATCTTCTTGATAAGTATGTGCTGCTTGTGCTAATTTATATTTGTTTTGACAGATGCCGTCCTTTCATTTGCGACAATTGCTTTAGCAATGAAGGTGCCACGTGTTGCAGACAACAAGGCACAACAAGTGGCAGTAATCATCTGGGGCTCTGTACTTCTTGGTATGTACAGCTTTCTTCTCAATGTGTTCAAGACCAAGAATGGGGGATATCCCTTTTTCCTTCCACCATTCTAAAATGGCTTCACTGTACCTTACTGGCCTGCATATTTGATCCAGCCAAACCTGAGTATAAAATCTCGGGTTAGCAAACGTTGGAAGAAAGTTGCTATATGGTATTTTCTTAGTCCTGGCGCCTCCGATTTGATGTACATTATTGCTGTACACGGTAGGTCTTTTTTTTCCCCAGGCCAGTTGGGTGCGACACTCGGATTAGTTTGTACTAGTCTTTGTCAATCAATGGAGCAAGCTATCAGAGGTGGAATATAGCACTGCCCCATGAGTACTATGTAGCTTAGATTTTTGGCCGGTGATATCTACGATTAGGTCTGGTGAAAGTCTTTCATCGCTGCATTATATTCAATCTACAAGTGACTTGATAACATCTAAAACAATCCACCTGGCAGTACATTGGCGGAGTGCTTTTCAAAATGAAACTAGACTGATTAGAATAGGATAGAAAGGCTTGTTTGTACGAGAGAATTGTTCATAAATGCTATATGGAAACCCAAGGCCAAGCAAGTATCATTGAAATTGTACTATAAACTATTAAGATGGATAATGGGACGCCGTAGGCAGTACGGGACGCTCCGCATAATTTTGTTCATCTCGGAAATTAGAAGGCTTGCAGGTTCGATTTTGGGTACGGACTGGACAATATAAAGTGCAATGGCTTGCCCAACTGCCTCCAATTATACTTGACTTATCTGCTCCGTTTATCTATCAATAGCTGCGCGCAGGGTTCAGGGAAGGGCCCCGGGCAGGGATGCCAGTGACGAAGTCTCCGCCTGTCAGTTTAGTTTTGCAGTATACATACAGGAAGGGGCGTCGGGCTATAATGCCACCAACTCCTTTTCACTATGTGAGCTCGCTTACTTTCTAGCCTCCTGCCATGATAAGGAAGACTGTCGCAGAATCAGGACTACAAACAATACATAATAGAGGGGATCGGCTCCATACGCGAGCTCGGATTCACATATGACATGGGGCTACGGCAGGTACTGTATTTAGCACGTGGCCTTTTTTGCGGATACCTGACTTATACATACCATGGCTGGGCAATCACCAGCTACTACGCCATGTTTATAACTCAAATTGAGCAGTCACTAAAATTTAATCGCTTCTTTGCGCGCCCAAGCTGCAGAGATACCTTTGCAGAACCGCAGAGGCTTTAGAAAGGAGGTCATTGGCTCGAGCCAGCGTTTCATCTACATGTCACCGGTGGATGAAAATGTCAGCGCAATGCTGGCGTCGTCAGTGTCTGGGACAACACTGATGATTCTCGTCCAATTGGCATCTAGGGTGTTCACTTTCACTGCAAACCAGCTAATTCTGAGGGGCTTGCCACCAGCCATTCTGGGTATTGCATCTCAACTGGAGCTATACTTCATCTCGATACTTTACTTCTCCAGGGAAAGTATCAGAGTGGCCATTCAAAGACAGCCATTGCAACTCAAGTTTATTCCCACGTCTGGTCACAAGGATGGCACTGACCCAACATCCGAGAATGCCGGCGATGTATCAGAGGCCCGAATCATAGCGTCACAGTCAGTAGTGAACATGTCTTACTTGAGCCTCGTGTTGGGGTTTCTGTTTGCTATGGCATTTGCTGTCTCTTATATGCAATTCGCACCGAGTGAGGTGTCGCAAATGCCCTCGTACCACGCGAGCGTGGTGATAACTACCATTGCATCCCTTATGGAACTTTCTGTCGAGCCCTTCTTCACTGTAGTGCAGCAATATATGCTACACAGAAAGCGTGCAGTTGTCGAAATGAGCGCAGCATTTGTAAAAAGCCTTACAACCTGCCTTGCTTATACCTGGGCTGCCCGGACTGGCCACACTGTTGGTGTACTTCCGTTCTCTCTTGGTTATCTGTGTTATTCTACCACTCTCATCTGTGGCTATATGTTGGCACTGCGGGGGGTTACGAATATGTGGAAGTTTTCTATATTCCCCACCAAGATAAAGTCAAGGTATGCCACGAAAGATGAAACTGAAGCGGTCCTATCTGATAACAGTGCCTAGGGATGGGTCTAAATTCTTGATTGAGAGGTTTTCATGGCCGATGATTACACTCTCCACAAATGTATTCTTTCAGTCCGTGATAAAACACGTTCTTACGCAAGGTGACTCTATGATGCTGGCAGCAATGACGAGCTTAGAGGACCAGGGCATATATGCACTAGCCTCTAATTATGGTGGCTTGGTGGCCCGAGTATTGTTCCAACCCATTGAAGAAAGCAGTCGAACACTCTTTTCATCCCTGCTAAATTCTGGAGGAACTGGGAAACTGAATGTTAAGAGTGTCAATGCTGCCAAGTCTCGATTAACTGAAGTTGTTCGCGCATACAGCCTAATAGCTGCTGTGGGGTTTCCCTTGGGTCCAGTCTTGGTATCTCAGGTGCTGCATGTGTTAGGCGGGCGCAGCTGGGCTTCGCCCCGCGTCAGCAGCCTGCTCTCTCTTTATTGTTATTACATACCATTTCTGGCATTCAACGGCATAAGTGAAGCATTTGTCTCCTCGGCAGCCAACCCAGAAGAACTTCGCAGGCAAGCGGTATGGATGGGCGTGTTTTCGGCATGCTTCACATCAGTGGCCTACTTATTCTTGAAGGTTGGCGGTCTAGGCGCCCATGGGATGGTATATGCCAATATTGTCAACATGGCTGTTCGTATCGTCTGGAGCTTCTCTTTCATACGGTCGTTTCTATCTCGGCACAAAAGTGACATGGCTCTTTCTGAGCTTACCCCACGACCACTTACTTGCATTGCTTGTGCCTTGATGTCCATAATTCATAACACAAGACACTCATATGCTTCTGACTCCGGAAACGCTGGCGAGGCGTTGACACTTGGTGTTATTTACACTCTTTTGGTGTAAGTTTGAAGCCCCATGTATATGAAAACAAGCTCTAATAGTGTGTAGGTCATATCTCGAGCGAAGGTACCTGATGATGTATTACACAAAAGCCCGCGAGATGGTGGGATCAAAAACATCCCAAACTCCAAAGCGCGAATGATGCCATGATCAGTCCTCAAAAACAATCTTCGTGGACGTTTTGTTGGTGTCGACGTCCTTGAAGAAGGCACCGTATGCGTCATGTTGCTTCTTCTTGACTGTTGCTCCAAACTTTAGAAGATCTTCAGGCACTTCCTGCTTAGCCGCTTTCAGAACGTTTATTAAACTACAATGCGTCGATTCCAGTTAGAACTTTTTCAAAATAAACCAGCATTATCGATGGGGCAGAAATTGAAATGGGGGAGGGAAATGGGAATGGGAGGCCGGGGACCATAAGGCGTTATCGATAAATCACTTACGCTCCAGACTGGGCTTTATCCACCTCAGTGAAAAGAGTAATGGCATGACCTTCGGCTCCAGCACGACCAGTCCTTAGATTGATCAGTCAGCGAGGCATAACAAGCATGGGTAGAGTACTTCACTAACCGCCCAATCCGATGTACATAATCCTCAACAGTAAGGGGAAATGTAACGTTTATAACAAGTTTGACCGAAGGGATGTCGAGACCGCGAGCTGCCACATCGGTTGCAACAAGAATAGTCGATACGCCCTTTTTGAATGAATCCAAGCTTTTGAAACGTTCCTGCTGGCCAAGGTCGCCGTGTATGCCGGCAACTTTGAAGCCTTTGTTCCAGAGCAGTCTCTCAACGCGCACTGCCTCTTTTTTATACAAACAAAACACCAATATTTTGTCCTCACTGGATGGTCCTTTCTGAAACTTGTTCAATATCTGTACAAGCCTCTGTTCTTTTTCGTGTGGTTTCACCACCTCAACAACTTGCTTGATTCTAGTGTTCGCGCGTGGATCAGCCGAGGGCTCTCCACCAATTGTGACTGTCACAGGTGAAGTCATGAATGTTGCGGCAAGATCCCTGACGACTGGAGGCCAGGTTGCCGTAAACATAACAGTTTGACGCTTGGATACTGGCATAGGGCGGATGATGTCCTTGATGTCTTGTTCGAATCCCTTGTCCAGCATGCGATCCGCTTCATCCAAAACGAGGTACTTGACTTTTCCGAGGTCCACCGAGCCATCATTCTGAAGATCTTTCAATCTTCCTGGTGTTGCCACGACAATAGTTGCTGTCTTCAAAGCCTCGCGTTGCTCGTCTTTTTTAACACCCCCGAATATACAGGCCACCTTGATGTCAACCAGTTCAGCGAATTTAGAAATTTGGTCATATATCTGCATCGCGAGTTCTCTTGTTGGGGAGATTATCACCGCAGTTGGCTTATAGGGCTTGCCTTTTCCTTTCTTCGCCGAGTCTTGGATTCTTTTCAGGCACGGCAAGCCAAAACCAAGCGTCTTGCCACTTCCAGTCTCAGCAATCCCAATGACATCGCGGCCAGCAAACAAAAATGGCCAAGTCGCTGACTGAATGGCAGTCGGGGACGTGAACGAGTCCAAGGGACGGTACAGTCCACTATTGCAGGCAGGAAGGTGAGAGAATGAGAGAACAGGGTGAAGCTTTGTTGCTTTTTCCGACGTATCCGTTATCTTGACTGAATTCTCCGATAAGAATTTCTCTAGTTCTGCTGAAGAAGGTTCCTTCGAATCAGTATGCTGATTCTCGATGGCTGCCGGGATAGTGGCTTCGGAAACCTCGGCCTTTTTCGTGCGCTTTTCGGTCCTCGACTTCTTCTTCACCCTTTGCTCGGTGATTCCTTGGTCTTGGAGCTCTCGTTTAGTCATTTTGTCCTGCCTTTTGCTGTCCGTTGTTTTACTTGTCGTGGGAAAAGAGGGTGTATTTGTATGCCTTCACAAAATAATTGACTACTCTCCGATACGCCTTTTTGCGGTTAAATTTTTTTTCTTTTTTTTTTTCTGGACCGGAAACCTTCCTCCGGATTAAAGTACTCCATATGGTAAGATCATCCTGCCTTAGTACTATTTAGTGCTAGTATTCATGTTTAGTCGGTGGAAGTCAACATCTTATCAAAGTAACTAATCTAGTACATACTAATCTAAACTATATACGGAGTAGATCATGTGAAATCCCCAAATATCATAGCATTACCACGGACTACAAGTTATTTCTCTATACATTATACTCCACATTGGATTGTTTTGGAATCACATCAAGGGCATACAGAATACCAGATGCACTACATATAAAAGGACCTGGGGCATCAAAATGCAAAGATAGACACTAGACAGGTCATGCTCACATACGCGGATAGATTCAGATAATATGATTTGAGGCTGCTCTTAGACGAAAATACAAAGCTACGAGCCTGGATGTAGTGTTTCCCAAACACAGCACATCTACTGGTTCCCTAAAATTGCTTATAGGCCACATCGCCATGACCTTATCATTCGACCGCTACGTAGAGTCGTAAACGAACTGTCTGCAATTATTGGTTCGGGGGCCGTGGTTATCTTCGCATTGGCGAGGTTTCATCTAATTAATAGTACATATTATTTTGCCCTTGGTCTTGTTGCTCTCAAGCAACCTATGGGCATCTGCAATCTCTTCAAAGGGAAAGACCTTTTCGATAAATACCTTGAACGTCCGGTCGATGAACTTGGGTAAAGCATGGTCCACCAAAAGATCACGTAATCTCCCTTGGTATTCCTCATCCCTGCTCCGAAGCGTACTGCCCTCGAACCTCAGTCTTTTCCTTAGAATCCCACTAATATCACTATTAGCTGGGAGGATAGAGCCACTCATCTGGCCCAATTGGACAATATGTGCATCCTGTGCGGCTACATCGAGATTGCCTTGGAAATGTGCTGCGCCAACGAAGTCAACTATGATGTCGACACCGCGACCATTTGTTGCCTTGAGTATCTCGGAGGCCCAGTCCTGACTTCTGTAGTTATAACCAGCAGTCGCCCCCAGTTCCCCTACGCAGAATTCAATTTTTTCTTGTGAACCTGCAGTCACATAAACAGCTGAGGCATTGTCAACCTTCGCAAGTTGAACTCCGGCTATTGATACCGAAGAAGCCCCTGCATGCCAGAGAACAGACTTCCCGGCAGTATACTCCCCGATCAAGTAAAGCGCCTGGCTGGCCGTTATCCAGGTCTAGAATATGGTGTCATGGTTTAAATCGAGATCATCTTCGTGGAAACAGATGTCGAGCTTACCTCCGGAATTCCTGCGGCCTCCTCCCAGGTCAATTCTGAAGGTTTGTGTATCAACATGTTCGTCGACACCACAATATATTCCGCATATGCACCTGGCAAGATTGAATCAACAATTACGCACTAGCACCCTCAGCTGTTTCCTTACATACCACCATAAGCCAGCCCAAACACGCTGTCGCCAGTCCTCAATCCATTCCAGGTGTTTGTGCCAATTTCCGCGATCACCCCAGAGAACTCGACCCCCATGGTGCTCGGGGCTTGCGGAGGGAGAGGGTATTTCCCTTCACGTTGCAACAAATCCATCCGGTTCAACCCAAATGCTTTGATCTTAACGAGAGCCTGTCCCGCACCAGGCCTTGGGGTTGGGATTTGATCCACGAACAAAGCATCAGCGCTCCCCTTACCCCCTTCAACACCTGAGCAGGAATTAGCAAATATGTGGTCAAGGACCGGAACAACGCAACCAACCAATTGCTTTCATCATGCTAGGCATTATCTTCAAGATACTTCTGAGTAAATGATATTAGCAAAGGTTCCGGATTTTTACCATATTCTTTACGGTTGGCCTTTCTATTTGATGTAATAGCATCTCCATTTGTCATCAAAGCCGAAGAAAGCCGAGTGATTAGTCATTGAAACAAAGTCGTCATGTGCTAAATGAGTGCTCTGTACGGAGTACTGTGTACAGGATAATTGTTTGCAATGAAGGACTCCTGCATAGCAGTTCCTAATCTAAGCGCACAAAACTATGGTCATGCAGGGCCAGGTTTACATATACTTATGGTAGACGAATTGTCGCATTTGCACGTGCCACTGTCAACTGCAACTTTTAAGGAAAAATACAAACGTGTCAGAGTATCTATCTCTTCTTACTCCATTCAAAAGTCTAATTGCGGGCGTAACTTGATAGTCAAAAGCTGATCGTGGGGTAGCGCGGCCCCATCGTGAAGCCTAACTAAGATACTATTAGTATTGGCCTTCAGGAGCTCAGACCTGCCTCTCTTCTCCATAGACTTGCAGGCGGAAACCCCGAGTTGTGTCTGGATGTCCAGTTCATCTCTAATCCATCCAACCACCGCCGAGATCATAGGTAAACAGACCTCATGGAGTTTATGGAAATGTTGTGTACTCATTAACTTGGAAAACCCGCGTGCTAGCAATATACCTGTGGTATCAAAGCACCTAGGTTTTATTTCAAGTGTCCTTGTTGAGTTGGGGTCTTTTTTGCTGAAGATCTTTCAATGGTAATGACATACACATTCCATTTTCATATTAACTAACATGAACAACCTAATAGCACTGAATAACCCGCGGTATCAACGAAGGGTCTGCCACATAAGTAGAGGTACAAGGGACCATGTAAGGTAGACAGATGGCGGGCACAGCAAGCTTTCAGCATCGCAAGAACATATTCAAGACACAGTATAGGATTCAATCAGATCTGCAAGGCGCGAAGCCTCTTCAGAATAGTTGATTGGCCTTGCTGACGATATCTGGTAGCGAATACTAGGAAATAATTAGCATCGGCACTAAGCCATTTGAAGTACCGCCTTACCGTTGTTGTTCGCCAAAATGGTCTATCTTGGCACGACATCTGAAATTCCAAGTCCGGCAATTAGCATCTTGGAATACATCACCGGCAGCTTTTTCGTCCGTTTGTAGCAGCTCCATTAACTGATTTGCCGGAGTGCCCATCATTAACCTGCCCACATCGTCAAAGCAGCTTAGCCAAAGTTGGCCAGTATGATCGCTGACATTGACATGCATGATGTAGCGATATTCTGGTCGGGAGTGGGTCTTGTCGCAGCGCTCGCAGCGCCACTGGCCAGGGTCAAGCTCCGTTACTTTCTTGTTGCAACCCTCTGAGAGACAAGCAGGATAGGACATGTTATCCTGCTTTATGTAGATGACGGTCGCTTTCAGCGAAAAGTAAACAGCTTCCTCCGACATACCCAATTGCTCCTCTTTGATCTGGGCGATTGTCTTAAATCGATCAGATTTCATAGTGGATGTGGTGGCGCCCAATAAAGAAGCATGCGAAGTGAAATTCTCATCCCTGCCTTGTGCCTCATACCAACCCTTGAGCTTGTGTGCTTCCTCGATATCAGGGTCGACGGCCATTGAGCCTGAACTTAACAAACTCAAGCTTCGCCCACCAAAGTCAGAAACCTTCACACCTTTGAATGCTACTACAGACTCGGGCAATGCATTGAAACTCAACGCCGTAGCACCCCAGACGGTCAAGCGAACAGAGAATCCAGTATTGTCAACCAGAATTAGTTCACGCTTGTTATAGGGCTTGTTCGTGGTTTTGGACACGATTTGCGAAACCTCCATGGACTCTTTCAGCACGCCTATGACATCGATGGTTGTGTCCTTCTCAACTGACTGGAGATCACCGATGGTAGTAAAATTGAATCGAACTTGGGGAACATCACTCTGATCCTCTGCCTAAGCCATTATTGTGAGCCAGGAAAGCTGTCAGCAATTCATCAATCTTGACTGACCTTTTCAACGACAGTATCCCTTTCAAAGGTGAGTTCGTAATCGTTGTTCAGATTCGTGAACTGCTTTTTGGCAATCTGAACGCGGCAGTTGGAGATATAGTATACACTCCCCTCCTGGAATGTATCGTACAACATATCGCATTGATCATTGAATCCGGTGGCACGAATTTCGCCACTATCATCCAGTAAGTTCACACTGAAAAGTCGTCCTTCCGTGTTCCTATTGTGCCAGGTCTTGATATTCGTCTTGCTTGTGCAGCGTGCTTTAATCGTCCACTTGTGGGAATATGGAGAAATGGCCTCAATGGGATATATGGTAGCATGTGATGCGGCCATAACAGGTCGCGTTGACGGTACTCGGGTATTCGTCTGCATTTGTGCACCTGGAATCTTCGAACCATAAAACCCGTTGCTGGAGATCGTAGTGGGTTGGTGTTTTTCGTCTTCATCGGGCTTATTTTCAAGTGGTTTCGGTTCACCGATCTTATCAGCCTCGCCCAGTTCCTGTAATACTTCCAGATCCAGGATTATGAGAATCCTATCCCAGGGTGAGCTTCAAAATCAACATAAATGTAGTTTGTCACTTACTTTTTTCCCTTGACCGAATTCGCTTGGAACGACTTCAACCGAACGAAGCATCCTTTTCGTAATAACCCACTAGAGACCACTGGATTCAATTCTGAATTTGAGATAAATATTAGTAATGGCCCTGACCGAGTCAAAGTATTGTTCGAGACTCACGGGTTGCAAGCATCGTCTGGACATAGTTTGAGATATCACTGAAGACAGCCCGGTAACGTTCCTGGTGATTCTGCTGAGGCGGTAACGGTTTGATTTGCACACACTGAACAATAGGCTCCCGAATTTGATGTTTTGTTTCATCGAAAATAGCACTTGAAAGGGATTAGTACGGTCACACATACAGTGAGTCCAATAATTTTACCTGAGGGCCCCAGCAGAGACTTGGGATGCTGCTTCTGAAGCCATCTGCGACGGTTCTCGGGATTGCTCGACGGTCTAATCCTCAATGCACTGGTTGAAAGATTAAAAACTGGGTTGTTTTACGGAGAAATAACAATTTGAAGTCTGAAACTAAAATGTTCATGGACGCAGGACAAAGAAATTCAGACGTTGTTTGAGGCGGTGATTTTGGTACTCTAGTACGGAGAAAGACGCGACCCGGGACTTATTTACGCGGTAGGAGCGCGTTAAGTATTCTCCCCGCTTCGGAATGCAACCTTACTTACTCTTGGGGCCTCAGGCCAGAATACAGATTAAAGCGCAGTTCGGAGTACTCCGTTGGTATGACACTGGTCACAATAAGACGGCACATACGTAATAGCCTCCCACTTCGCCCCACCTTCATACCTGAAGGCAGTGCTACTATCGATAGTGCAGATATTAAAGGACTTCGCTCGACTTACGCTCACTTCATACACTGAAGCTATCGACAAGACACATGTCCACGTACTGGCACTCTCAACGCCCTGGAAATTTTTCCATTTACTCATTTCTATGGTATTTAGCGTATAGCTCTCAGTTTACCTCAACATGGCTTGTTCCCATGTCAGTTCTCAAGGTCAGTTACGGCTGAATATAAAGCCAGGGCAAACAATACAGTATAGTGCTCGCTTGGTATTCTGACTCATGTTCATATTGCAGAGCTAAGAGAGCCAACTACATCGCAAGTCGTATATCGAGAAGATTGCACACAGTGTTTCGACTCCATAGTACGCATCCATCAGTCTCCAATTAATCAAGAGGTTGACAGTATCATCAGGACGAGGACCACGGTCTTAATGTCTGTTTAACATGCTTCAATGGTGGTTGTGCTGGCGATAGGAACCATGCCCTTCTTCACTTCGAACGACTTGGCCACCCACTGGCGCTCAACATCAAAAGATCACGTAAAGAGGTCCAGGTTGGTTCTAATCAAGAGTGCATAAACTACCAGCCCCGGTTACATATCACTAACAACATATCTAACAGCGAGACGAGCCGCCACACAAGATATCGAAGCTTGCAGTTGCTGCTGAGACCGACGAAGATCGGTATCTCACAAAGACACATGTCATATGTTATTCGTGTTGCCAGGATGGTGTCGACGCATCGAGTGGTAAACTACCGGCTGTAATCGATGGCGTAATGAAAGCAATGACCTTCTCCAAGAGAGAAGAAGTCAAGGCTTGGGAGCAGGAGTTTATTCCCTGTGAACATACTCTCGGTTTGGTGCAGCGAGAATCACGACAAATTGAGTCGAAAGGTAATCATTTCCCTTCTTTTTGAAAAACCTGGATCTTGCTTAAATCTAGACACAGATCTCGTCCAGTGTTCGATGTGTAATTTGAAAGAAAACCTTTGGTTATGCCTAGAATGCGGTAACCTTGGCTGTGGCCGCAGTCAGTTCGGCGGTGTTGGGGGAAACTCACATGCTCTGGCACATTCCGACATGGAATCTCATCATGCTGCAGTGAAACTCGGTTCAATAACTGCAGATGGGTCTGCAGACATCTATTGCTATAGATGCAATGAAGAAAGGACCGATCCCAACTTGGCCACTCACCTTGCCAACTGGGGCATCAATCTGGCAGGCCGCGAGAAAACGGAGAAGAGTCTTATGGAAATGCAGGTTGAGCAGAATATGAAATGGGAATTTTCGATGACTTCTGAGGATGGCCACGAATTCACCCCGGTGTTTGGCCCTGGATTGACCGGTTTGACTAATTTAGGAAACAGCTGCTACCTATCCAGTGTCATTCAATGCCTTTTTGATCTTCCCGAATTCCAAAGAAGATACTATCACCCCGATGAGAAGCCACCACTCTCAGAAAAGCCAGCGGAGGACCTCGAGACTCAGCTGCGAAAGGTCGCAGATGGCATTCTTTCCGGGAGGTACTCAAGGCCTGATAGCAACGTCAAAGCTTCGCCTGATTCAGCAGAAGTTCCACATCAAAGAGGCTTAGCGCCTGCTATGTTTAAGCATCTTGTCGGGCGTAACCATGAGGAGTTTTCGACGATGAGGCAGCAGGACGCCTTCGAGTTCATGCTTCACCTCTTTAAGCAAATCGGTCTGTCCAAGCACCCCGAGGGGTTGGATAACCCAATTGCGTCATTCCGGTTTTCTATACAACAGCGTCTTCAATGTCTGCAGTGCAGAAAGGTTCGGTACAAAATTGATGAGCAGGATAATATTTCCATCCCTGTTCCCGCTCGTCGTATCTCTGCGGATGATACCAGCTCTACGAACAACTTTGAAAGTGTGACTCTGCTAGAATGTTTAGATGCCTTCACAGCTGATGAAGTTGTTGAACTCAGCTGTCCCTCATGTGGTGGCACAGACGGATTCAAGAAACACTACTCATTCAAAACCCTGCCGCAGGATCTGGTCATCAATGCGCGGAGGTTTGAGTTGATAAATTGGGTTCCCACAAAGCTGGATATACCAGTAGAAGTTGATGAGGGGCCGATAGATCTCGGTCCTTACCTTTCCCCTGGGCCAGAAAAGGACGAGGAGCTTCTCCCCGATATTGAGGCTCCTGAGAGCTTATTTAAGCCGAATGAAACTGCTATGCAGCAACTTCTCGCCATGGGTTTCCCCCAACCAAGGAGCGAGAGAGCGCTCTATATGACTGGCAACTCAGACCCGGAGGCCGCCATGAATTGGCTTTTTGCTCACATGGAAGATCCTGAGGTGGATGAGCCCCTCGATATGGTGCAGGCTAACTCTCCAGGAGACCAGCAAGATCCAGCGAAAGTGGCACAGTTGGCTGAAATGGGCATTAATGAGGTCCACGCTAAGAGGGCATTAGCAGCGACAGGTGGTGATGTCAACAGGGCGATCGACTGGGTGTTTACCCATCCCGAGGACTCGATGGAAATTCGTGCTGACACTCATGGAACCGGGGGCGCTTGTATGCTAGGATTTGATACTATTCCGGCAAGATATCAACTACGGTCAATTGTGTGTCACAAAGGCTCCTCTGTACATGCCGGGTACGTATGTTCACTGGTTTACATAGGATGTACTAACACACTACAGGCATTATGTTGCGGTTGTGCGAAAAGCACTTCCAGGAAGGAGTGGCTCATCTTGGGTCATGTTTAATGACGAAAAGGCCGTTCAGGTGGATGATATCCAGGAGATGAAGAAGTTTGCCTATGTATACATATTCACTCGAGTTTGAGTGCATTTTGTATGCTAGGCATGTGAAGGATCCATGCATGTTTTATACGTACTGTGATAACTCTAGATTCCTACAGCACCTTTGGTGTGATAGATTAGCCTCAGACCGAGGTCTCTATCTTATCAGTAGGCTGTAGCAGTCCAGTAGTTATACTAATATCATCATAAGACATATCACGCTGGCCAAGGCTATACAGAAAGTATGAGGCCTCAGCCTCTCATGCCTCCTCACATAATCCCGGCTGCTCCCTACACTAACATAACAAGAGCCTATACTGCTTTGGGATTTGTATAGGCCCTAGACAACAGCAGACAGACAGATAAAAAAAGTGAAAGCATTATAAAATCTTAATAAAACCTAAATAAGGATAACAAGAATCTAAAGAAACTTACTAGATAAAACAGCCATTCAACACAGTGAAATATATGCCACAGGTGACACAGGGTGATCTTGTTAAGTACACTCACTACATGTGACTTTATGCACAGTTAAAAGCATCCTATTCCTGTGATCCTAATTTAGACTGGTGTATCCAACCCACCAAACCCAGCCCAACCTGTCTGTCGGCGGGTTAAGATTCCGGCGTTCTATACTGCCGGCAAATACTACGCTCTAAGTAGGCTACTAAGATATATAATAATAAATAATGAGCACTACTATAAAATTAATGATTCTCTAGCTATAGAGAGACTTAGAAAGCTCTTTATATTACAAGACTAGTCTCTGCTAGAATAGGCCGTGAGAACTGTTCTGTAAATATATGAATAAGCTTTTATTACTTTGATAAAATCTTTCATAAAGTTATTATAAAGATTTTATCTAGTAAGAGCAAGCTGTTTAATAAATATAAGGCTTTGAGATAGTAGCTGAGATTCTTTAAAACTTGTAAAGTATTAGTTATATATTTAATCAGATAGTATAATAAGTCTTTAATATAATAATATTCTTAATAAGAAATAATGTCTTTATTATAAATATCAGAGTATAAAATAAGTATAGAAAAACAGTCTGTAAAACTTTGTAATATATAAAAAAAAATAATTATTTAGAAACAATTAGTTTAAAATTTAAATACATTAATTCTTATAATAATATAAGTACTGTTTAAAAAACTTAGATAAATTATTTATAATCTATAATCAAATTATTAGTATTAATATTTTCTTATAAATTGTATATAAGGGATGAAAGGTTCAGATAATGTGAAGAATATATCTGTATCATAATATACCAAATATATGGATATATTTTCTTAAGATATTATTACTAGCTATCTGGTTTCTACTTCTTATAGATATTTATATCTGTAAGTTAACTATAAATTATGTAATTATTATATCTTACTAATTATGTCACAGTATGACTAGGGTATACTCTTGCTAAAGCTCCGCACGTGATTATACACACTGTTAAAATGTGATAGAACGGGTTCGGATGGTGATCCTTACCTAATGGGCAACCATCAATAGTAGTTAGAGTATCTGGATAAGTGATATCAGGGTAGCAAGGGTTGTGAGATCATTGTTATATATACTATAGCATCCCGCGATTTATTATATAATAAATATAGAGAGTTCTTTTTTTCTAATTCTTTAAGAATTAGTTTATTCAATAAATATAGACTATATTTATTAATATATACCGTTCTAAAGTGTAATCCTTGTTTAATTAATAAGACTTTTATTCTGATAAGTAGATTTTATTATATTTTTATTTTTTTAATTATTTAAAAAATATGTCTTTTCGGGTTTCCAGTGAAGAACCAGAAATAATTTTAATAGAAAATAATAAAGAAATAACAACTATTTTTATTTTTATTATTAAGAAAATTTAGGAATTTCAGAATATAATCTAATATTTAAAATAAATAAATATTTTATATTATTAAATTATAGTTCTTTAGACAGGTATTTTACTAAGTGAAATTTTAAAAAGTTAGTATTAGTCCTATTTATTTTTCTCTGATAATAATAACTACAGTTATAAAGAGACTAAATTTTAGAATATTACATACTTTTCTTTAAACTTTAATTTATAAAAATAATAAAAATAATTATTAAAGTTAGAATATATATTCCATGGAGGATTTAAGAAGTATATTATAAAAAATTATAAAACTCTTAATATCTTATATTATATATAAATATTTTATTACTAGTATTAATATTGCTATATAAAAGAAGTCTTAAAAAAATTAACAAGTTATTAAGAATTCAAGAATACATTTTATAGATTAGATTATTATCTTAATTTATAATACTGCTACTCTGTAATTCAATATTATAATTTAATTAAAGTAAGTTTATTAATAAAATAGTTAAGATTTATAAGAGTTTTATATCTATCTTAATATTTTTAAGTAGAATTTTTTTGTCAGATAGAAAAAGAATAAGTCTTAACTTATTTTATAAAATTACTTTCGAAGTTAAATTAATATAATTGTAAACATGTTTTCTATTTATTGAAAAATTATAATAAAATAGTTTTTATTATTATACATTACTATAAACTTCGAAAGAATAGAGGAAAATAAAAATAATATAATTTTTTTTCTTTTGATAAATATTTAAAATAATAATTTTAATAAACTACTATCTTGAAATCTCTTAGTATGAATACAAGGTATAATAAATTTAAAAAAATTAAAATAAAACTCTATTAAATCTAATAAAAAATGATTATAATATTTTAATTATAATAGTAATATATACTTAGTAAATTACTATTTAATTAAGAAGATTTAAATTGTGTAAATATACTAAGCTTTTTATAAAATAAAAAATCTTGAAAAGTTACAATAAAATTTTTAGATTTAATTTATTATCTAAAAATAAAGATAACTTACTATTTCTATATTCCGGTCTGTATATAAAATAATATTAAATATCTATTAATCTTGATAACTGCGCTGAAGTAAATATTATTAATTATTAATTTAAAAAATATTTATAAATTATAACATCCTTTTTTAATTGCTTTTATAATTTCAGTAGTTAATTAGCTACTAATAATTATTTATAGAGTTTAGAAAGTACTTTAAATCTTAATTAATATATAAAATATTCTAATCTTCTAAGTATTATTATATTATAATTGATAAAGATCTGCAGCCTGAAGGCAGCTTAATTTTATTATTTATAATTATATTATATAATTAATTTATTAACTTATTATTTAAGAATTAATAATAATAATTTATTACTTTATTTATAACCTTTTTAATATCTTATAAATTTATGTAAATAATATAAAATTAAACTTATATTTATACTATTATTAAGAGATTTGAAGATATTTAAATACTAAAATTAAAGAAATTTTTATTATAGTTTGAGATAATTTAATCTCAGAAAAACTAGAGTCTTTTTATAATATTTTTTTATAGATTTTTTATTATGAACTCTAAATCACAGCCCAGCTGATTATTTAATTAATTTAAAATCTAATAAAAGTTTCCTGTATAGACTTATTTATTCTTTATCTAAATTGAAATCAAAAGTCTTATAAGAATATATTCATAAAAACTTATATTTAAAATATATTTACCTATTAAAAAGTCTTACTGGAGTTTTTATTCTCGTTATATTTAGAGAAAATAGAAATCTGTATCTTTATATTAATTATTAAAAATTTGATAAGATTTGAATTAAGAATTCTTATTTTTTATTTTTTATTTCAGAGATTTTGAATTAAGTTTCAGATATAAAATTCCTTCTAAAAATTAATATTAAGAATGCTTATTACTGAATCCGTATTAAATATAATAATAAATAAAAAATTATATATATACTATGTTATACGGCATTCTCGACTTCTTTTGTATAATATATCTTAATAATATTCTTATTTTTTATATTTAATAAGTTTTATAATACCTCTGTAATGTAGAATTCTATATAAAATTCTTTAAATATTTTTTCTATCAAGATTAAGTTAAGTTTTTAAAATATATTATTAAATAAGATAGTTTGTTTATGGATTTTTGACAGGTTAATAATATAGTTTTATAAAAAATTTAAGAATTATTATAATATCTAAGGCTTTTTAAGCTCCTGTAATTTTTATTAATATTTTATCTGTAATGATTTTTATATTATATTATCTCTTATTTTCTTATTACATGGAGTTATGAATAGAAGGAAATCTAGTTTTTTGTAATTTTTTTAATTAATTTATAGACTTATTACAACTTTCTAATTAACTTTTTTATTAGTGTACTTAAATTTAAGAAAAATATATTAGATTGGAAACTGATACATTAAATTAAGAAATATATAATATTTTATTTTAATCTGATAATTAAGAATATTATTATTCTATTATATTTTAATTTTGAAAATTTTCAAATATAGAATTAAATTATGAAACCCCAGATTAAGGAGTTATTTATTATTATTTAAAAAATAAATAATAATAATAATATCTTAAAAGCTCTTGACATACTATTAAAGTTTTTTTTAATTATATAAATTTATAATTACTTATATATTCAACTAAATTAAATAGCAGATAAGTATATTAGTTGATATTTTTTATTCTATTTAGTTTTATTATTAAATATAGAATAAAAAAGTTTAATTTTATTAATAATTCATCTAGAAGACTTGCGGGTCAAGTTTTTAAAATAACTTTTAAATAAGAATTATTAGATCTAATTTGAAAGTGAATTATAGATATTTTTCCTTAACTATTTAAGAATTAGTCAAAAAAATCCCAGTTTAAATCTTGTAAAATTTAAAGTTATAAACTTAAGTTTAATAACTATATAATATTAAGTTTCGAGAATTTTAATAGTTAAATTATTATAAAGATAGTTGACTGGGCTGCTTGGATGAATTTATATTATAAATATTTTATTTTTTAATTTAAAATAAATATATATGTTTTTTAGAAATTATATACTTAACTAAGATTAGTATAAAATTATAAAGTCTTATAGAATATTTATAATATAAAAATTCTGAGATTTAATACTGAAAAGCCATGATTTATTAAAGAAAATTTAAATAAAAGAGTTTGTATATTAATTTTATAGGATAATTATATTTTACATCTTATTTTTATATTTTATAATCTGAATCCTTAAGATAAAAGATTATTAACTTTTATTATAATAATCAGTTAACTAGTTACTTTAGTAAGATTAAAATTGAAAAAATTATTTAAAGAAAATTTCATTGAAACTGGATTAGTAAGTAATATTGTTATATATATTAAGATAGATTTTATATATTAAAAAACAGCAAGTTCTTGATATTTATCTTTTAATAAGTTAGATTTATTATTAATATCTTTAAGATTTTTCTAGAAATTATTTATAGACTTTATTACTAATT